TGATATCTTATCCGGTACAAATATGGCAGTGCTGCCCAGTAATTTAATACTACCTAGTTTCTTTAATAAGTTATTAATGTATTAAACATAATTTAATAGGATCTAAATTGCAAAGCGTACCCGTAGTTAAGTTTTTATCGCAGGGTTAGAGTATGAGATTAGCGTTTAACAAAAGTGATTAGATTTTCATAGGATTTGAGCAGCTACGATATATAGGAACTAGTATGTGCACCCGTGTGTCGCACGGTGTTAGTCTTAATTAAGTTTTTCCAACAAAAAGTGAAAGTAAACTTTAAAGAAAATGAAAGGGAAAATACACAAAATGGATAAACGCCTCAATCTCGTGCCAAATATTTCAGTTTGTGTTATGATGATATATGTTATACTTTAAATAGAAAATACAAAAATGAATACATACTCAAATATTATTAGATAAAATAATAGTTAAAAAAGTGTTAGTTGACTGTTGTATTGTAGGTTTGAAATGAAATTGATTATTATTTTACATTTCATCTGGCACATTAAGTTCGTATGAAACGGGCTAGCCCTGTGGATTTTGACTGATTTTGAAAGATGTATCTATAGTGGATTGACACATGCATGTTGTGAGTTGTCCAAAATACAAATATATATTTTTGAATTTCATTGTCTTCAATATTGATTCTTTACCACCGGTTGAGGTTAAGTTCTCGCGGTCCGAAAGTCCAACAAAGTCCAACTATAGTATGCAAGTTTGCCAACTCTTTATAATGTAATAAATGGGAGTGTACGACAATGTAATAGGTGTACATGATGATGTGTCGAGCCCTCAGCGGATAATTCCCAACCATAAAATCCCCCACATCTAGTGCACTAAATGCGCTTCCCATCAATTCTAGCCTTCCCGCCGACTGCTTTGTGGAGCTCTCCCATATACAACCAGCACCATCTGAAAAAACACCAATTATCAGAATATTATCGACCGAAGGATCTCGAGCAGAAATTAGACCCGTGTACCAACACTACCAAAATCATATTCTAAAATACTTATTATTTTACAACCTTTTTTGAACTATTAATAATCATTGTTAACAAATATTCACTCAAAAGATCTAATTGTATTTTTATTTTTGTACAATAAGTGATTTTGCTAGATACCATTTAATAGTTATCAAATTTAATATAACAATGATTTAATAATATTTTTAATTAAAGTTACCAAGTATTTTTAATTAAAACAACACACGACAATAGAGGAGACATTATATAAATTAATATATAACATAATATATTATTAGAATACATTAGAGTGAAGTTTTGGAAGTTAGATAGTATTTCATTTATGGTGTTGCCACATGTCATTTTTTCTACAAAGATGTTGCCACACGTCAATAATTCCTCTGATTTAAGGTGTTCTTTAAGGGTTTGCTTTATTATATTATATAGATTTGACAATAGCGAAAGAAAGTGGTTGGCTGGTATTAAAAAGAGATATTATCCAAAATAGGACTAAAAAAGTTTGAAAATTCCAAAATAGGACTTTCATATATTTATTCCCAAAACAGGACTAATTACTGTCATGTTTTAGTAGTACCAGACTTCAAACATGGCAGTATTTTCCAAATTTGACAATAATTAGTCCTATTATGAGAATAAAAACATGACAGTCATATTTTGAAATTTCAAACCTTTTTAGTCCTATTTCGGGAACTTAAGGGAGTTTGGAATTAAATACTACTCCTTCCGTCCCCTTAATATTGAGACAAAAGAGAGTGATGCGATTTTTAAAACAAGTAGAATTATATGAATTGATAAAAGTGAGAATAAAGTAAGAATGCATTAGAGTCACACAAATGTTATTAAACATTGTATGAGACAATAATAGAGTGCCATCTAAAAATGAAAAAATGAGGCAATTATAAGGGGGCAGATGAAGTATTATAATAATATAGACACTTGAAAGTTTGATACATTTTCCTATTTTTTGATAAGTTTTTCCTTTAAAAATACATAATTACTCTTACTTTTCGAACTTATTATCTTCTCTTTCATTTATTAGGTAGTACTCTGTGTTAAAATAAGTCTAGCTTATTGGGATTATAGAAAGGATTAACATAGGAAGATAGAACATAAATTATTCATATTTCGAGAATAAAGAGATTACAGTCCTATTATTACATCATGGAGTAATTTTACTCCTATTTAAGGCTTGTTGAGTTTAATCCAACACGATATAGTAAATATATGTATAAATGTGTATGAATACTCAGTTTTTTACGTGGAAACCCGAAAGGGAAAAAACCACGGGACTTTTTAGGCTAATGTCCAAGCCCTCTCATTCTCATTAATCTCTCCTCACCATTACATAGTACAATTTGAGCTCCATTTATGGAGTATTGAGCTAGCTAGAGAGAAATAAGGAAGAAGCTAAAGAAGGGATCCCCAAAACATGGAGGGAAGCCTCCTATAAATAGGGGAAGGGGAGAAGGGGCTCTCCACCCTAATGGGCCAAACGGGCCAGAGTGGGCCCAAATGGCTAAAGTGGGCCGGATGGGCCGTAATGGGCCTAGCTGCTCGGGCCCCGTACTACGTAGAGCCTTGGACTCATGAACAGTAATAGGCCGGGATAATATATCCCAACAAGGCTCATGACCGTGTTAATAATAATAATAATAGTAATAACAATAGTATGAAATAATTCCAATTTTATGATGTGTTTTTAAAAATGTGATCTCTTAAATACAATTACTTTTAACTTCATTCACAATAATTTATATTCATTTTTTACATTTAAATGACTCACATTGTATTATACTCTCTCCACACTTCAATTATCTTTCAAATTTCTTTTATTCTTGAAAATAATCAAAATAATCTTCTCTCTCTTTATAATTCACAACATTTTTTTATAGATGCTTACACATTTTTCTCATCATTTCACAATTCTCGCTTTATTAATTTCAATAAAAATGTAGTTTGACTGCTTCTCCGATTGAATTTTTAGCTGAAATTTTGTATGAGTAAACTAGACTTAATGAAAAAGATGCTAAAAAAAGTTCATAAAAAAATTCCACCTGGAACCGCGGCAAATGGCGATGGCCGGTCAAAACCTCTTATATAAGGGACTAATTGAACACTTTAAGTCAGTTCTAGAGCCTATTAGACCCTTTAACCTAATTTCAATAAAAAATGTAGTTTGAAAAATAATTTAGGAAGGACTAGGGAGGAAGTACCCCTGATACTCCATACTCCCTAACTTTCAATCATATTTTTATAAATAAATTTTATGTCCATTATTTCAAAAAACCTCTAATCAACCGATGCGAAACTAGAAAGGGCGCCTTCCCGGGTTTGAATTTACACATTTAGGAAACGAGAATTCATTAAGGGGGTGGGGTAGATGCGGTAAAATTGTGAATTTCCAGGTGCCACCCTGTGACATATATATTCTGCCTCTCTCTCCGGGCATTAATGCAAACAGATTACAGACTTCAAGAAGCTGTTCCGTTCACCTGATCTGAATGTTTCTGATCTGAATTTTTTAAGTTCTGATCTGATCTGATCTGAATTTTTCTGATCTGATCTGATCTGATCTGAATCTTTCTGATCTGATCTGATCTGATCTGAATCTTTCTGATCTGATCTGAATCTTTCTGATCTGATCTGAATGTTGCTGAACTGATCTGAATGTTGCTGATCTGATCTGATCTGATCTGAATGTTTCTGATCTGATCTGAAAGTTTCTGATCTGATCTGAATTCTTCTGATCTGAATCTTTCTGATCTGATTTGAATATTTTTATAATTGTAATTATAATTATAATTATTAGATTTATAATTGTAATTAAAAATATAACTTAAATAAAATTACAATTATAATCATAATTATAAAAAAATAATACTTAAAATTAAATTTAAAATTATAATAATTATACTAATTACACTAATAATAAGTACAGATACAATTATAAATGTAATTATATTTTTAATTATGATTAATCTTATAATTAGTATTGTAATTATAATTATAATATTCATTTCTATAATCATAATTATATCTATAATTACTAATTTAAATATATAATTACTCCGAAGTAATAATAATTACAACAATAACAACAAGAACAACAATCATATTAATAATAATGATGATTATAATTATAATTACATTGAAAATCATAATTATAATTATAATTATAAATATATTATATTATATTATATTATATTATATTATATTATATTATATTATATTATATTATATTATATTATATTATATTATATTATATTATATTATATTATATTATATTATATTATATTATATTATATTATATTATATTATATTATATTATATTATATTATATTATATTATATTATATTATATTATATTATATTATATTATATTATATTATATTATATTATATTATATTATATTATATTATATTATATTATATTATATTATATTATATTATATTATATTATATTATATTATATTATATTATATTATATTATATTATATTATATTATATTATATTATATTATATTATAATAATAATTTTATATTATTAACATTATTATTATTCTATTATTAATAATATTATTATATTAATATATTAGTATTATTAACAATAATTATAATATAATAATCATAATTAATATATTAATAAAAGTGATAAATCATGTTTGAATTTTTTGATCTGATCTGATCTGATCTTAATGTTTCTGATCTGATCTGAATGTTTCTGATCTGGTCTGATCTGGTCTGAATCTTTCTGATCTGATCTGAATGTTGCTGATCTGATCTGAATCTTTCTGATCTGATCTGAATGTTTCTGATCTGATCTGATCTGATCTGAATCTTTCTGATCTGATCTGATCTGATCTGAATCTTTCTGATCTGATCTGATCTGATCTGAATAAAATAAGATTAAGGAATAAGTAATAAGATTAAGACGAACGGAACAGCTTCCAAATCTGTAATCTTATATCTGTATAAGTAATTAAATTCAGAGATGCATTTGGACTGAATGGACTTATATATATACTCCCTCTTCATTTTGGGTGTATTTGTCCTGCGCCTTGAAGGTCTTTAAGCCCTAAGCTCTGTGAATTCAGTGATATGGGGTCCTGCACCGGAAGTTCATTCAGGCTGGGAATGGGTGCCCGTCGGGCAATGGATCATCCTGATCCTTCTTCCATTGGTGAGGATTACTGGGAACTAGTTGATGAAACGGCTCGAGAAGTCCTGAATTATGTCCACCCGACTATGGACTCCGAGGAGAAGCGGAAGGACGTTATTGAGTTCATGCAGAACCTCATCAGAGGTTGTGCTCCTTGTGAGGTATATACATCCATCTGCTTCATACATTTTCCTTTTCCACTGCTTCTGCTTCGGGTTTTTCTTTGCTTTTGCATGTATATGCTTTCTCTACTTGATTGCTTCTTTTCTGGGCTGTACCTTTGAATGTTTTGTTGTTTTATTATCCAATATCCATAAGATTTTTTTTTCTCCAAAAAATTTCGGTTCAATTCCTTACCTCTGAAGTGATTTACAAATTGATATTATGTTCTGTTTGTGCTAATGATTTGAAGTTGATTTTTTTGAGTAAAGTTTTACTCTGAGTGCAGCACTGCAGCATGACCACATTTCCTAGTGCATCTGTGCATGTAGTGAGAGATTGCTAGTGTTCTGTGTTCATCGTGATTCAATAATTTATTAAAAAATTGAAGACGACAATCCTTGGCTTGCTGGAGATTAGTATTTGTAAACATATTTTTAAGTTTCTTTTGTCAATTACATTCAGTATTTATCACATCCCCCCCTAGATGAATGTGTTTTCATCTGTATATGGTCATATGGTCTTTGCATGAAAAAATAACCAAACTAGGATTGTAACTTTGTCTTGTTATTCACCCACTCAACTTTATTTGTATTTCTCTATATTAAATATTTCCAACCCCCACTATATAATTTTAAGAAAAGGAAAGGAAGTTAAAATTTGGTGAAGTTGACGTTTTGCTAGCACTAGTAAAATGTACTACCTCCCTTTTCAAGTTCACACTTGGACTTTCACGTCTCCAACATCTATGATTGACCATTGATATATAAAAAAAATATACACATGTAAAACTTATACGTAGTACTACGTAACAAACTAACATTTTAATAGTAGAGTAGATATTAAAATGAAGTACTCAAAATTATTTTGGTATTATAAAGTACTGCGTAATATGGGTTTTGAATAATAAATGGTCAAATTTAACAAATTTTGACTTACAGTCCTTTCTTCTTCCCATGAGTGATTCGTGTTAAAGCTTGGAGATGTATTCAGCAGGCATCCATTTTTTGGCTTCTAGACGAGTAATGAGAGAATACACAGAATAAATACAAATCAAGGAGCTTCTATATAGCAATTATACCTTTTCAAATGAGGAAATAATATATATCAATGAAATCTAGGAAAGGATGAAAGTAGTGTTGTAATTTGGAAATGATGTGAAGCTGCTTACAGTCCTTCCTTCTTCCCATGAGTGATTCGTGTTAAAGCTTGGAGATGTATTCAGCAGGCATCCTTTTTAGGGCTTCTAGATGAGTAATGATAGAATACACTGAGAATAAATACAAATCAAGAAGCTTCTATGTAGCAATTGTACCTTTTCAAATAAGGAAATAATATATATCAATGAAATCCAGGAAAAGATGAAGGTGGTGTTGTAATTTGGAAATGATATATGCTCGGTTAAGACTTATAAACATTAAGCATGACATTGCAATGCATTCTTTTTTAATTCCATCACTAAATCAATAGATTATCCCCATCCCACCTCCCAAAAAAGAATAAAAAGAATGAACATTCAAAAAAGAAAGTACAACAAGAAATGCTTGGAGTGTAGTGACTTATTTAAGAAAAGGTTGATGGCATTATGTTATTTTGCTAATATAAATAAACTTTACACTTGATAGCTAACTATCACTGTCTGATGATGCAGCATTCTACATGATCCACAATTCAGAAGAACTATAGTATACATGCATTTAAAAATGTAAATTAAATGGTATGATGTGCTTGATTGCATTTCTTGTAGAATAGTTAAAATTAAAGTTAGAGTATGTGTTTATTTTTTGTACCAATAGCATATTCTTCATTATATCTTTTTTCTCACTTGGATTATTTGACATTTTTAGGTCTTCCCGTATGGTTCAGTACCACTGAAGACATATCTTCCCAATGGAGACATAGATTTAACTGCTCTAAGTGATCCTACCATCGAGGAATCTTTGGCACAAAATATCCTAGCCAGTTTGCAGGCAGAAGAACAGAAACAAAACACCGAGTATGATGTCAGGGATACTCAATTCATCAATGCTGAGGTTTTTTAATTTCATTTAATTTTTAAAAACATTTTCTATTATTTTGCGTTCCACACAATTAGTGAAGGTCACAACTTGCAAGCATCTGATTTTTTATATGCTATTCTTTGGTGCTTAGCTTGGTGGTAACTGGTAAGTCAAATCCCTTTTTAAGAAAGGGACTTGGTCTATGATTGGTATGCCATAAGCTAGTGTGGCTTTTTAATAAAAACACTTTTCAAATATGCTTTCTGTGGTCGAGCCAACTTATTTAGCTTACTGTTTCACACTTTTCCCTTTTCTGAGAAATTTGGATTTCTGCTAGCAGGTTAAAATTGTTAGATGTGTTGTTCAAAATATTGCAATTGATATATCCTTTAATCAGCTAGGGGGGCTTTGCACTCTTTGTTTCCTTGAGCAGGTAAAATATCAGTGCTTCAACACTTCATCATTTTAATTTGTTCATGCAAGTCTGTAAAGACTAATTAATGTGATAAAACTCGATTTGTTCTGGATAACACAAATTACAACAAGAATATTATGTTTTTTTTCCTTAGATAGGAGTAATTACTATCATGTATGGAAAATACTATCAATTATGTGATTAATACTACCACATTAATGCCGAATAGTGTCAAATTACAGCAGTATGAGTTTAGGATTTTAGGGAAAACATAGTACTCCTAGGCCCTAGCTATGGAAATCACATTGTTTTTACTTATATTTGGTGAAATTTCCCTTTAATTTATATGTCAAGATGCAATCACTCGAATGCTTCTTCAGAAGATTTTTCCAGTTTCTTATTTTTTAATTTTTTATGTTGATATCTACTTTATCTCAATTCTCAATGCTCTCTGTGTGCCTCTTTCTGTTGATTGAATTTTATTCTTACATATAATAATGTTAGTGCCACATATGCTCACAGCTAGTTGTCTATCCTTCAATCTATTTGATTAACCATCCATTCACATCCATCGCCAGTCCTTTATAGCTAGTCTCCATTGATCCATTCATTATATTTTAAACACCACCCCACATCCGGTTTTGCTATGGTTATTGAATAATTTCACTTTTTTCCTTGACTGGATGTAATTTATCTTATTCACTTGTAATTTTTTATTACTGTGATCTAGATAGATCGCATTGTTGGAAAAAATCACCTTTTCAAGCGAACACTTATGCTGATAAAGTGTTGGTGTTACTATGAAAGCCGGATACTCGGTGCTCATCATGGCCTGCTATCGACATATGCATTGGAAATACTTGTCTTGTATATCTTCCAACTCTTCCATGCATCCTTAAACACTCCTGTCGTGGTAATTAACGATGGAATCACCATATTGATATTGCCAATATTATGCATTAGTGATTTAGCTAGTTTAATTCTTGATGGCCGGTTTGGTTTATTGTGCTATTAGGCTCTCTATAGATTTTTGGACTACTATAGCAAATTTGATTGGGGGAAGTATTGTGTCAGTCTGAATGGGCCAGTTCGTATATCATCCCTCCCTGACATAGTGGGTAAGGAATGAGTTAACTCTGCTGTTATATATCATGCCTTGACTTTCTTATCTTTTTCTGCATGACTTGCTATATGGTTCTATTTTATATTTTTATCCTCAGGAAGAAGATGCTCTTTCATTTATTTTTTACTTATGGTACTCTCTATCCACGCAGTTGAATTGCCTGACAATGGAAAGACAAATCTATTGCTTGCTGAAGAACTTTTGCGGGACTGTATGGAAATGTTCGCAGTTCCATCAAGGGCCCCTGAAAGTAACAAAAGGGTATTTCAACAAAAATATCTTAATATAGTTGATCCATTGAAGGAGAACAACAATGTCGGCCGAAGTGTTCATAAAGGTATAGTAAGCTTTGATCTATATAATATTTGTAGACCAAATATATCTGTTAATTTGGAAACAATTGGTAAAGGAGTATTAAGGAAACCCCCAATCTGTTTCTTTAGGAAATAAATTGTAAAGAAGCATCTAGTAAACCTCATAATCTAATGCATGTTTTGTTTATAGAAATGCACCCTGACAATTTAATTAATTGAATTATTGAACAAGAATAAGTGGTAAAGGATATTTATAATCTCCTAGAAAAAACAAACAAGTGAGTAAATTGTAATGTTTTCAAGTGTGTTTAGGTAAGTAACACTAAAGACTATTCTCTTCTTTCAGTCCAAACTAGTTAATATTTAATGATGCACTTTTATCTAAGAAAAGCTTATAATGAAAGTGTCAAAATTGACTTATGCATTCTCGAAACAAATTATTAGTGGAAAAATTGATATTAAATTATTTAAAACTTAAGATGCAATATGCTCAACCTTGGGGTGGCAACAGAAGAACTGCCTCCCTCATTCTTTGTATGTGCAGGTAATTACCACCGCATATGCTTTGCTTTTAAGTACGGGGTCAGGAAGCTCGGCCAAATCCTTTTATTACCACCTGATAACATTGGAAATGTGATGAAAAAGTTCTTTTGGAACAACATCTTAATCGATGGATTGACTTCTGTGGCTAGCCTAGAGAATTCCTCCCTAAGTATTGGTGGTGACAGCTCTATAATATTGTCTTCACCTTCACCTGCTGACTATTTCTCCGACAATGATTTTGAGCATGATAATTTTGAAACTGAAGATATTAAGTTCACTTCATTATCATCATCTCCTTCATTATTAGTAAATGAGTCACAGAGTAAATTAATTCCTAAACATGGAAGCTGCAATGATGATGAGAGTGACAAAGTTGAGGATTCAGAAGTTTGGAACCCCTTAGCAGACCTAACTGGGGATTATGATGGTCACATTCGAAGTTTGCTTTATGGGAAGTGTTGTCATGGGTATGCTTCAACTGTGGCAGTGTCATCACCCCCCTCTTCGATTCTAAACAACCGGTTGTTGACTGTCACTAATCAACAACCCACGATGATCCCCCGCGCCCCACATTCTTTCCCTAAAACAAGCATGACTCGTGTGTTCATAGGGCCATCACCTTTTGCTGGAAACTTCTTACCATACCCTCCTAGTTCCAACTTTGAAATGAAATCAAAATCACGGGGCACTGGAACGTTCTTCCCAGTTGTGGTACATTTTTCTCAAAATTTATTATTATTATCATTAATATTAGAATAATTACTCCCTATTTTTTTTGTTGAAACAGTGTGCAACAGAAATATGGAAAATATAAAAAAAATGAAAAAATTTGACATCTAATCCGCAGTGACTATATTGGTACTTTCTTAGTGATTATGCTCAATTTTATCCTGCATTGATTATGGTGATATTTTCTGTAAAACCATCGTTTCTTGTCAGTGATATTTTCTGTAAAACCATCAATATTGTTGTCACCACTATCATTTTCACTATTGGCATTGCAATTACTTATAATAATAATAATGTCAATAGTAATAAATTAAGGGAAAATAATTTTAAATAATACCAACTATCACCAATAAACCAATAATATGGATCCATTTTTCATCAAAAAAATCCAGTCATTTAAAACATTAAAAACTAATAGTAAACTATCAAATAAATGATTTTTGGAAATACGATAACTTACTTGATATTTTGATACTAGTTTTTGATGAATTATATAACTGAATTTTCATTGAAAAATTGTTCTATATAACTCTTGGTCTATATTTAGATAATTGGTATTATTAAAAATAATTTCCAAAGTATGTATTATTCTTGGTTAATGGAAGATAATTTGTATTATTTAAAGTTATTTTCCCATAAATTAATGGTAACAATGACAATAATTACTCAATATATGTTTCTTGTTAATAAGGCAAGATTTCCCTCTACATTGAGTGGCATAAAGGTCTAACCAAATAGGGTTTGGGTTTTGGGGGATTGTTTCTTGATTATTTGGTGATGGGACTAACTTTAGAAATACTATTGAAGATTAAGCCTTTCAGGGAGAGAGCATCTTATCAAAAAGGAAAGGGGAAAATCAGGAAATTTGGTGCTGGTTATGGTCAGCCTCCGAGAAACAATCTTAGCAAAGGATGGGTTCCTGTATTGCTAGAGGAGGAGATTGCTGTGCAAAGCAATAACATTAGCAGCAGCCAGTGGCGGACCTAGGCATCAGAGCTCAGTGTATGCACATTTAAAACACTAATAGTTACATCACGACGTGGTCTTGTAACAGTGACAAAATTATACATGGACATTGTATCTATACAAATAGAAAAGTAATAAAATTAGTTCTTTTTATTTTTCCCCAAGCTAGTTACAAATATAAAATTAATACTCCCTAAGTATTTTTTTGTTTACTACAGTAGGTGTTGGCACATTTTTTAAGAGTAAAATAGTAGGGGTAATGAATAGTGTAGAAAAAGTAGGAGAGACGGTGGAATATATATATATATATATATATATATATATATATATATATATATAGAGAGAGAGAGAGAGAGAGAGAGAGAGAGAGAGAGAGAGAGAGAGAGAGAGAGAGAGAGAGAGAGAGAGAGAGAGAGAGAGAGAGAGAGAGAGGAAAGTTCATGTCAGGACCTCCAAAAACGGACCTCCGTATGGAACTCGGCGTTTGGGCCCCTTTCTGGTGGAATTTTTTTATGAAACTTTTTGAGCATGTTCTTCATCAAGTCTAGTTTATTCATACCAAATTTCAGCTAAAAATTCCATTGGGAAGGCAGTCAAATGATTTTTGGAAGTTAACTGCATTTTATATGTATATAAAGTGCGCAGTTAACTTCTAAAAATCATTTGAATGCCTTTCCGATTGAATTTTTAGCTGAAATTTGGTATGGATAAACTAGACTTGATGCAGAACATGCTCAAAAAAATTCATCAAACAATTCATCAAACTTATAAAGGTGACGGATTACAGGGATGGGAGTGTGGGCTGAGGAAAGGTGACAAGAGGCAGATTGCTGCTTTGAGAGTTAAGTATGTGTCAGCCATACTGTGCGCAGATGCCAATGAGTTGAAATTGCAAAATTTTATGAAAGCAAGGGAGTTTGCAAAGAAAAAGGACGGAAAAAAGGTTGCAAAGATTTGAGGAAGGCTTTAAGTATAATGTAGAAGGTGTTGAAGTTAAACAATATTTAATTTTTCGTTGTTTTGAATGACTTAAATTTTGTGGTTGTGGTTCTTTTTTTACTTACATTGTTTTTGGATTACAGTTAGTTTGCTATTATTGGTAGTTTTTTGGGTATTATAAGCACGTGAAACATATGCTGAAATGAGTTGTTATACTGCACAATTTGGTATAGGTCGTGCACAAATAATACAATATAAGAAATACTACGTAAATGAGAAAGAAAGAAATGAGAAAGAAACAACCTTTTCACCTTTTTGGAATTTGAACTCTTTTGAATACAATGAAGTTGAGATTGTAAAATTTCAATTTGAGGGAGAGATTTGCAATGTAGATTAGCATGGTTTAATAGAATCAGGATAGTTACTTGTATTATAAGTTGTGTCGGTTTATGCAACAAGGTTGTGTTATACTGCACAATTAATTTCAGTTCGTGCACTCGTAATACAAAACAAATAAATCAGAACACACAGAACCTTTTGACATGTCGGAAATAGGAAAGGTTTTTTTACAATGCAGTTGAGATGGTAATTTTTAAATTTCAGTGACAGGTTTACAAGGTAGATTATAATGTTGTGATGCGTTTACATTGTGCACTGCTATTAAGTAATTATTATTATTATATAAAATTAAATTAAACTAAATGGACACATATTTTCAAATTAAACAAATGTGAAAACATGAATAAACACTTGACATATTTATAACAACACAAAATAGTATCCGAAATTTAGCCAAAAAAATACAAGTGCATCTAGAATTGATTTAAACTTGTTTATTCAAAGGACAATTTCTACTATCATGGTTACACATTTCATTGCATGATCTACACAATCTTTTTGGTCGTTTTTTTTCTTCCATTGACAACTCCTTTGCCCCTTTGATTCTCTTTCCGGATCCCTTATTCTTTGCTTGTTGAGGTGGTAATACTTTGACAACTGAAGGTGCAACAGATCCGTAAAAAGATGCAATCATGCCTTCATTTGTTGTAGGACTAGCATCACCTTGATCAGCTAATAAAAGTATTTCCTTTTGTTGTTTAAGAAATTCTGCAAAACTCTTCATTCTTTCTGTGTGTTTTTCTGCCAAAGCAACACAAGTGTGAAAATCAGCCCACACCTCTTTCAATACATTACTTGTTTCTTGAGACCCATTTGATGCATCCGCACCCATGTCGGCAATATCAAATAATGGATGTAAGAACTCCTTTTTACTCCAACGGTTACAAACATATTGTTCAGGTATACGGTCCAATTTAAGGTCTTTCAAAACGACAAACATGTGCATACAAACTAACCCCATCCGCAAGAAATGTTTGCAAGTACAATTAACTTCGACATCATTTGCATTCCGTTGCACAGTGAATGTCAGGTCACGATCATCAGTAATAACATACTCCAATATCCCACTTTTTTCATGGATGCTAATGACACGACACCCAAAACAAGCTGAAGCAATTTCAGTTTTTACATCATAAAAAATTGATAGGGAGTATACCTCTGAAGCATGTTTTTCAATGAGTAATGGAGTCTTGAAAACAGGGATGTAACATTCTGAATCAGAATTTAGTTTATCTTGTTTGTGACGTTGGGCATCCATTGCACTTTCAAATTGCATATAAAATTCAATGAGACTAAAGTGTGGGTTTGAGAATTCACGAAAAAAGTTATTTTCGCTTTCAGACCGTGAAGTAGTCCGAAGCAAACCGGCCATGAACATATCCCTAAAATAGGAAGGAATCCAGAATTGCCTTAGCTCAAATAGTTGAGAAAACCATTCATGATTCATGAGGTCAAAATCTTCCATAACAGATTGCCATTTATCCTCAAATGCTACTGGTTCAAGATAGCGACTCCACACAACACCATTAAGTCTTGACATGAAATCAACATTCTTACTAAGCACAGGGCCAACCTTTTTTGTTACCTTTTCCATTATGTGCCACATGCAATACCGATGTCGAGATTCAGGAAGTACCTTCTCAATAGCTATACGCATAGACGGATCTTGATCAGTTATAACGCAAGCCGGTTGACGACCCATTGCCTTGATAAAACGAGTCAAAAGCCAAACATATGACTCTACGTCCTCTTTTGCTAATAGACCAGCCGCAAAGGTAATGCACTTCTTATGATTGTCTACCCCGGTGAAGGGCACGAAGACCAAACTGTACCTGAAATGTAATTTAATATGCATTATTTATTTAAAAAAGTGCATGAGTATAGATATTACGTGCATTGTAGCTGTTATACCTGTTCGTGCCATATGTGGCATCAAATGATACAACATCTGTGACACCGCACCCGAACGTCCTTGAAAATTCCATTCTTAAATTCAAAGTGATGTATTGAATTTCCAATTTCAAAACAATGGAAGAACGATTAATATTTTATGTAGTACATGATTGAATATTGTATTGTTCGAACCCGTATTCTTTTGTAATTTTCATCAAGTAAATTATTGAGATTAGCCTACACATATTGGAGATCAATAATGTGATGTAGGAAGTTGACTTGTTCTAAATAAATTAGGATAAGTACAAAAAGACATCTTTTGACAAAGGATAAAACAATAGGACCCATCTTCCCATTTTTTTTTTTGGAAGTATTGGTAGGTGTTTTGGACCCCAAATTGATTGGGATCACTTGGGGAGCACCCCACACCTTCTTGGCACCTGCAAAATAAAGAGAATGAGTTAAAATCCATGGTTGGGGCGGACAAAAAGAGAGGGGGGCTGAACAAGACATGTTTGAGGACAAATGGACCCTCTCCCCATTTTTTTTTTGATTGAAGGTATCTTGCTCCATCATCCCACATGCCAACCCACTCCTATCCTTTGACTTTTGAGGATAAGTTAAGGCCAAGATAACACTCCCACAGCTCCCATTCGAACTCCCCTAGATAAGAGAGAAGAAGAGAGCCACACAACCCAAAAGACCAAGGAGAAAGCAAACTGCCCGCAGGTTTTTCCTCCAGTGCAAGGGTTACTTGTTTGCTTCATATCTCGAGTTATACACATCCAAATAAGGCGTGTAATATACCAAAGGAAAGCTCTCAAGACGAGGAATCCGTGAAGGCCTGGTTTGCTTCAATCGGAGTAGCGGAAGGCTTCCAAACCGTCCGAGCAAAACACAACCTCGCAGGAGAGGATTTAATCTTCTAAAGTGAGTTTTAACCCCAAAACTTTACTTTTCATTCTCCAAATGATATGAACGATTGGTGGGACTATTATACACTAATTCAAGTGTATAATATGTCCTTATAAAGTTATTTTATGTGTGTAAAGGTTGGATACTAACCTAGAGCAAATCTTGGAAAACTAGGAAACGAGTTAACCGGAAAACACCCATTCTAGGGGCTGTTTTCGTATCAACGATTAAGGGTTGAACTAGCACCGTGAGGAGGCTGTTTAACACTCATATTTGAGCAAGGAATTAGTTCCAAATCCATCTTGACCAAAGATTTGACCATTGGACCAAGAGGGGAAAGTTTAAAGCTCAATTGAGGTGAGGATTGACATCTAATTGCTTACAACTTGTAGGTTAAGCATGAGATTACCTAAATGCTTAAATCATTATTTTTCATGAATTATGATGGTTATATATTGATGAAATATTGATATAGTTGCCAAAGAATGAAATTTGAAATGATTTGAGAATGTATGAATACTATGAGATTAAATGAGTATAAATGAACTATTTTTGTGAAATAGGCATTTTGCTCATGTATGAATTATGTGGTTACATAAATGAATATTTGTGTATTGAGATTGAATACTTAAGTTGCTGCTACATAATTATAATTATGTAGAGAATTACAAGTAATGAGGATAATGGTATGATAACAATAATCTTAATAGTATTGAAATACTAGTTAGTGATTATTGGGACTTGTTGATTAAATTGATCCTAGGGATTGGATTGTATGAAAGATACTTGAATGTAGTTCAAGTGTATCTAATAACTTAGTAAGGAACTAAGGTTAAGTTATGGGAAGTCTTTAAGGATGACCCATGGTAGTTTAATGATATGTCAATTCTAGGCATAGGGTTGCTTGAGAGTTGGACCTTAATGCATGGTGATGTGATAGAGCCGAGCTCTAGAATGCATGTAAGGTGTAGACTTGGAGTCTATGTATTGTATAGCTAGAGCCGAGCTCTAGGACTTGCGTGGTGATGTGATAGAGCCGAGCTCTAGAACGCAAGGTAGGGAAATTGACCCGAGGTATATGAATTGTATGGTGATGTGGTAGAGCCGAGCTCTAGAATACAATGTCATGTACTAGGGTTGGACTCTAGGAGTTGTCGTGGCTTATAGTCACGGGGTTGGGAATGGTGATTTTCCAAATGAACATGGGCCCACGGGCCGGCTACTTGACTTTTATATAAAGTAAGTATATTTTTAAACGGGGTAATTAGGGTTACAATCATAATGTACTATCACCCTATTTGAGGGTCTTGTGTTTGAAATACTTGTTGTATATCTATTAGATGCCTGCCACACCAGCACTTTATAGCCCTATAGAGTGCTGACCCCTTCGGGGGCGTCCCACCACCATTTTTCAGGTTGAGGCTAGAGCTTGCTTCCTGTGCTCGTTGCTCGAGAGATCATCTAGGAGCGAAGACTTGGTTCGTGCTTCCTCCATTCGGATTTTAAATATTAATAAACATGCTCATGGATATTTTACTATGGAGCCTGCGTGCTCATGAATAGCCCGGTGTGGCCTTTTTGTTTTAAACAATGTTTTCCGCTGCATTATGAATTACTTATCATGTTTGTTTATGGATGGCTTACGTGTGAATGATATTCGAGACGCCTTTGTATAATATGAATGTGTTGGACTGCGATTGACTATTCGTATTGTACGGCGGGTTGTTGACGTGTCCGGGGAGGTCCGGGGCGTGACAACATCACCAAAATAAGAATAATTCTTCCTACATGTTGGATCTGCCCAGAAAATTCTTGTCAATTGATCGCTTTCATCAACATCGTAGTCGAAGAAAAAAGAAGAACACACTTCAACCTTGCGAAATAATTTATCAATCAACATTTGTGCATCCACGCCTTCAACATAGGCCTTTAGATTTCTTTTGAAGTTTTTAAAATCGACTGCTGTGGCACCAATATGACTATATGCACCAACAGACTCTTTATACAACCAGTATGACTTTTT